TGAAGGCCCAAAAGATTTTGAACCGTGAAATGAAAGAAAATTGAGATAATCGAAAAATCGAATCTATTTTATTAAAAAAAACTCGTTGAAAATACAATCGGTTAAATTAACCTTGCATATGATATTTCCAAAAATGCTATCTGGATTTATTGTAATGTGATAGAAGTAAAATAAAAATTAGTTAAGAATCGATATGAAGATGCCCCTGCATTTTATGTGATTTACTTAGATTTGTGACTTTTAGTAAATATAAGAAATTTTTGAAAAATAAATGAATTTTTGGACAAGTAAATACAACGTTTGGTTAAGGGTATCTCCAAATCCAAAAATAGCATAAATATTCAAAATATTCTATTTTTCTCTACATTTTCAATTGCATTTCATATATATCTAAAAAATATTTGAAATATTCAATCGATCATTATGATATTTTTTTCGACCATGTAGTTTTTTTTAAGACCAAAATGCTTCTAATTAAAATACAATAAAATGAAATAAAATTCTAAAAACTTAAAAAATAAAAAGTATAGATCATGTAACCTTAAGTTTTTTTTTTCATCTTAATAAAGGACATTTTGATCAAAACAATTGTTCATGATTGAAAAAATTGATCAAAAAAATAGATTGGATGTTTCAAAAATTTTTAAAAACAGTCGAACAATTGAAAATCTAAAAACAAATGAGACAATTTGAGTATTATATAACGACATATGGTTATATTTATCCTTAAAAAATATTTAGTCACATGCGCATAAAATGAGTCTTTAACTAGCTTAAAAAGTGTCAAGCGACTATTTTTTTTTCTTATAAAAAATTATAAATATTTTATAAAATATATAAAAAAAATTATAAATATTTTTAACACCCTAATTCTGATTTAAAAAAAAAAAACATTATAGACATTTTATAATAAAAATGATGTAAAAAACATAATTAAAAATGCACAATTTCATGCCTTAAAAAACATTTTATAAATTAAAACGAGCGTAATTAAGGGTTGACCTCCTAATTTTATAAATTATTAAAAAAAATTTTTTTAAAAATTTATAATATTTTTTTTTATATATTTTTTGAAAAGTTCAAAACTAAGGGGTTAAAAATATTTATAAAACATTTTATTTATATAGTTTATAATATTTTATAAGAAAAAAAAAGTTAAAAAAGCTCAAGATTAGGGAGGTTAAAAATATTTTTAAAATATAATTAATAGTGAAATATCAAAACGATATCGTTTTGATATTCTAAGTAACGGTCAACCTCATTGACCATTATATATAATGACAATTACAAAGATTTTTTTGATGAATTTTATCCAAAAACCAATAGTTTAAGGTTGAGATTATAAAATTTGGTACTAAAAAACTTGGATTTGTCAAATTACAATAGGATGAGGATTAAAAATGTCTTTAAACCTTTAGTAACTATAAGAAATTTTTGAAGAATAAATGAGTTTTTAGACAAGTAAATACAAAGCTTGGTTAAGTGCATCTCTAAATTCAAAAATAGAACAAATATACTCCTCTATCTTTATATAATATTCAAAATATTCTATCCGTCTTTAGATTTTCAATTATATTTCATATGTTTCTAAAAATGTTTGAAATGTTCGATCGATTATTTCGATCAATTTTTTTTTATCATATAGTTTTTTTTTTACCAAAATGCTCATAATAAAAATGTAATAAAATAAAATAAAAGTCTAAAAACTTAAAAAATAGAAAATACCGATAATGTGAATTTAAGTTTTTTTTTTTTAAATAAAAGGCATTTTGATAAAAAAAAATTATCGATGATTGAAAAAATTGATTAATAAAACAGATTGAACATTTTAATTTTTTTTCAAAAACAAGCAAATAATCGAAATTTTAGAAACAAAGGAGAAAATATGAGCATGACATCACGTTATGTAGTTATATTTATCCTTAAAAATATTTAGTCACATCGAGCCAAAAAATGTCTTTAACCGGCATGAAAAGTGTCAAGTGACATTTTTTTCCCCCGTGGAAAGCATCAGAGATAATTGTCATCAAACTTAACCATCAATTGTGGTTTGCAATTCAGATATCTAAGAATTTTAACCCACCCAACCTGCTTGACAAAATGTTCGCAATCGTCATTTTTTAAATTATAGTGGTGAGAGATTCTCGTTCAATCTTCCATGTAATTATAGTAAGTAATTAACAAATGAGCATGGAAATCGCGTCCTACACCTTGTAATTTATAACTTTGGCATGCTATTTCTAACGTAAATTTATAACATTAATTTGATGTTTTCTGTGGGAAACAAAAAAAAAAAAAAAAAAAAAAAGAAGGAAAAATGATGCTGGAATATCAAAAATTTTAACCATGGTTAAACTTCAGCTTGAGTGGTGATTGCTGCTCCAGCTAGGATTAACTTTTTTCACTCCTGTTTTATTTATCATAAAAAAACAGAAGTAAAAAAAGATTTCGAAATCTTTTTAAAAAGAAGAATATCATTATCATTTGAACCATGATGAGTGCATGATGCGTTGACTCGATTATTATTATTTAACTTTTGAAAAATATCAATTTAATGAATTGTTTTTTTTTTTTTTTTGAAAAAGAAAACATCAGAAAGCAACATTGATGTAGAATGTTTCCAACCATGGTTAATTTTGAACCGTTCCGTTGAGAAATCTGTACACAGTCAGAGCATTAAGTCATTTGAAGTCCTGGAGAACAAAATCCCAAAATTCCCACTTTATCCCTAAAATTCAACACTACAATCAAAAGTACAATGACTGTACTTTAGACAAATCTCGCGACCCACCAAAACTCCTAACTAACAAATTCTAGTTCGACCTTTGGGCTTGACTTGAGAACGATAATAAGCTAATTTGTTTCCCTCTTATCATTTTGGTTTTCCATTCAAGAAAAATTCAATGCAAACAAATCTGGAGAAAAACGTAGAAATCTCTAAATGACTTACGAATAACAAAAAAAAATGGTAAAAAATTAAATCATTTTTCTCTTTTTTATAAATTACCAGTCGAAACAATGAATCATGCTTCATTTAATAATTATACTAAACCAACAACGTACGTGTTGGAAGTTTATCTCATTTGTATTCAAATAGTGTGAGATTAAATTCTTTATCATTAAAAAGGAAAAAAAAATTCAAATAACAAAGTCGTGACACGACTATACAATAAAAATATAATAATCAATATGATATTTGTATTAGATACATAGTATTCGTATCAAGATATTCGATAATCTGACGCTATTATATAACGTAAATACAATTCATAATACCATATATATTATATATATTTATATATTCGATTTTATTTTTACTATACGCATCAAAAGCTAACAAGTTACTCTAACGGTCTCTCAGAATGGGTAATTGAGAATGACCCAGGTGAAAATGGTTCAAGAAATTTGAAACCCACCAAGGCTAAAACTAAAAGCAATTTTTATTTTATTCCATGACAAGGAAAAACCCAAAGAAATTTTTATTTTATTTTATTCCTTAAAACAAAGAAAAAACTCAGTATTTTGTATTTTTGTCCAAGTAATTTATCTGCATGCAACTCTCTCTCTCTCTCTCTCTCTCTCTCTGCCGTCTCTACAAGTCAAAACGATTCACACACGGAGAGAGTACAGCAAAGGCAGAGAGAGTACAGCAAAGGCCGAGAGAGAGACAGAGACGGTCATTTTCATGTTTGCTCTTTTTAGGTATGTTTTAAAGCTGTCTCTTTTATTCAGGCCCTTTGCTGTACAAAACCCATTTGGACTATTTTTGCTTCTTTGCATTTTAAACGGTTTAAATTTTAGGGTTTTGGGGCAAAATTTTCAAGTCAAAAGTAGAGTGAGGGAGACAAGATTTTCAGGTGGGTCTTATTTTGTTAATGCATTTTGGGTTTGAGACCTGAGAAAGAGGGGGAAGTGAGTGAAAGTTTTGAAATTTACTACTATTTGTTTTTGTTTGAAAGTGATTGGTTGCTGAGAAAGAGAGGGAAAATGAGTGAAAGTCTTGAAACTTTTTTCTGGGTTTTTGTTTTTTGCCTTATTTGATTTTTGTTTTTGGGTATTAAATAAAAGAATAAAATGTGAGGCTTTTTTGGGTTTTTTTTTTTTTTTAAAAAAAAATTTCTTGCTTCATTTGTCCTTCTCCCACTCTCTAAGTTTATGGTAAATGCATTTTTGGTTCGTTTTGTGTTCTGGGGTTTTGATTTTTTGGGGTTATTTTTTTTCCTAGACAGAAGTAGAGAAGTGAAAATAGAGGCGAAAATTTGGAATTTCTCAGGTAATTTTGGGTCGTTCTTTTTAACCTCTCTCGCTTTTATTTGTTCTTGCATGACTTCTATGTTTTTGGTTTCTGAGAAAGCTGCGGAAATGGAACAGAGAGGTCGGAAACGAATTTTTTTTCGTGCTCTTTGGTTTTGAGTCAGGAGAACTCAAAAAGAAAAAATTATCATTATTTTGCTCTATTTTAACCATTTTTTTCCCTGGCCTTCTACTTTTCTATGCTGTGTATTTTTTTTCATATAGATTTTTTTGAATTAAAAAAAAAAAAAACACAAGGCCTTTTCTTTCTTATATTTTTTGCTTTTATTCTACACTCCCAGTCCTTTAATTCCAAAAAAAAAAAAAAAAAAAAGGAATGCCATGATAAGAGTGAACTTCATTCAGTATTGGAATTTCTGTAAACTACTGCTGAGGTTTTTATTTGTATGTGCTTTTGCTCTAAGGAGTTGAGTACTCCTTCACGAGTGCCTTTAGTTAGCAACATTTTTATTCTTGGTTCCAAGTTTTGGTTTTCGCAATGCATTCTTTTTTCAGATTGTTATGTATGATAGTGCCTATGTTTTTCTATTTTAATTAGTGAGATCTTCTCATTTATTTTTTCCATTTGTCAGTTAGGAGTTGAATATTTATTTTGGTATTCTGGAGTGCTTTTGTCTTTCTATGGGATCTGACTTCATTTTGGCAATTATGTTAACAGCATAGGTTGAGGCAACTGTTAAAGAAATATGGATGAAAATCCTCAATCAAGCTTTTTCGAAGGGGAGATAACTGGAATCAGATTTGGTTTGGCATCTCAGAAGGAAATCGTAAGTAGTATTCCTTCTTGGTTGTTTACTTGCTCCCGTTATTTAAGGCATCTCATTGTTGCAATGGTCTTTTGAATCATGTATTTTTTTTCCGGGTTGATGAGCAACATTTGAAGTTAGAGATGCTTTTGGTTGTTAACAAAGTACCTCTAAAGTCTATTCAAGAATTATTTCAAGGCATCAGTTATTTTTAAGGATAAGTGCACCATGTTAAGATCAATAAAATCCACTTTTGATTAAGAGGTTTTCATTTTTCAGCATTTTCATTTTCATCAAGATTACAAGTTGTTTCTAACTGGCATTTGCTATATTTCTAGTTTCAAATCCTCTGGTTGTTTGAAGTTGATGTCCATGCATATTTTGTTTTTATCAATTGGTCAACAGTGTACAGCATCCATCAGTGATTGCCCTATTAGCCATTCAAGTCAGCTGACTAATCCCTTCCTTGGTTTGCCGCTTGAATTTGGCAAATGTGAATCTTGTGGCACTTCTGAACCAGGAAAATGCGAAGGTCAATTTCTTTCCTTCTTATCAGATGCGTGCATGTATACATCACTATTTTAGTTGATTTTTCTTACAAACAAATTTGAATTTGCTCATATTTCCACTGTCAGGTCATTTTGGATACATCGACTTGCCGATTCCTATATATCATCCGAGCCATGTTAGTGAATTGAAGCGAATGTTGAGCTTGTTATGTTTGAAGTGCTTAAAATTAAAAAGGAACAAGGTATTCCCGAATTGAGCATTTTGTCTGTTTCATCAATTTTTTCTAGTTTTCAATTTTTTGAATAAAGCACATTGAATCTACATGTAATTCATGATTCTTAGTGTTCTCTAGGTCTCCATGTTGATGGCGTTGAATAGGCATAAGCATAACAGGGACCAAGGATAAAAGATTAGGTCTCCATGTCAACGGGAGTTCACTAAGCATAAGCATAATAGGGAGCAAGGATAAAAGATTGCGAGTTGCATATTTGCTTAATGTATATGTTAAGTACATTCCTTTTGCTCCTTGATACTGTTGTAAAGACGACAAAAGTCGAGAAAGGAAAAATGATGGTTGTGAATAGCATGAGCATTTAGAACCCAATCAGCTATTATGGTCAAATAAAAAGATGAATTTTCCTTTTAACCGTAGTGAATGATGTAGAGAGAGGTGTAAAACTTGACCTACCATGAAGAAAACTTTAAGAACACGCACCTCTGTTTTTCTGATGCTACAATCAGTTTAAATGGGATTGTAGTGCCCCTTACTCTTAATGCTGTTTGATAATATGTTTCCTCTTATTTTTCACACTGAGTTTATAATTCACAGATTCAAATCAAGAGCAACGGTGTTGCTGAACGGTTGCTTTCATGCTGTGAGGTGAGTATAGAAATGCCAGCTACTCTTCACTTTATTTGTAGAGATATGCTCTGCTTACTAATTCTGAACAGAAGTTATGCTTTAAGTTACTGCACTAATTTTGTTTATAAACAAGCTTGCTTTAAATTGCTAACCCCCTCTCAGACTATTTTGTTGAATCTCTGCCACTTTATTTGTTAGGGTCCCATTGTGTTCCTACAATAAGCTCCCTAATTTTTACCTTTATTGCTTGTTACTATGTCAAATACTTGAACAAGCACACAAATTTTTCTATCTTTTTTTCTCTTATTAGTTTAGCTCTTTTTAATGATGCGGTTGGATTTATGGCCGTTCCAGCTTGTGAATGTAGCTGGATCTTTTTATTTCTTGATTCCTGGATGACATAAGTTTTAGATCTTAAGTGTATTTCTTTGGTTGCCCCCTTTTTTTTTCCCTGTTTAATAGAATGCTGGATTTTTTTTTTTTTGGTAATTTTGGGGAAACTGTTTCGCATGGGATTTGACATGCAAGATCCTCAAGTTACATAATACACAGTGAAAAGCTTTGCTTATATCTGATTTTACTTTTTTCTTTTTGGCACAGGAGTGTGCGCAAATTTCTATTAGAGAGGTTAAGAATACAGATGGTGGTTGCTTCTTAGAACTAAAGCTGCCTTCTAGGTCCAGACTACGGAATGGTTGCTGGAATTTCCTAGAAAGATATGGTTTTCGCTATGGTGATGACTTTACACGACCATTGCTCCCCTGTGAGGTTTGTTTCTAGTACACACATGTTTTTATTTTTGATAGTTGAAACTGTTGGGTATTATGGTCATTAATTGTTTTATGAGAATACAGATGGTTCGAACTCGCTTGGGCTCTAATTTTCTGTCTAGTTTGTTACATTGGTGGAGGAGATGTTGTTTCTTGCTGAGTTGTATAGCCCTAATGCCCCTGATTTTTGTGCTCAGTTTTTGTCACTTTTGAAATGTACTTATACACGAACGTGCCTAAAGTGTATGCATTCATGTGCAAAGGGGTGTGTGTCCAGAAGCGACTGGTGCTTCACATATGCATCTGTGCTCATTCTTGCCAGTCCAAGCAATTTTTGTTTGGTCTTCTGTCTAACTGACATGGATAGGAATGAGTTATTCAATGCCTCAGTTTGTGAGTTACTTATAAAGGATTCAGATTTTAGAACAGCATTTGTATGTATCAAATTATTCATTTTTCAGTATATGCTTTGTTTTTTACTTGTTTTAGCAGTTTGCTTCAGAAATTTAGAACAGTACTCATATGTCAAATGATTCACCCCTTTTCAGCATATGCTTTTTTGTGTACTTTTTTAGTAGACTATGACATCTTATCAATACTGATTTAGGGAAAACATGAAGTTGCTTGTGATATAAATTTCCTTTTTCCTGTCTCTCATTCTCTGTTTCTCCATCTCCATCTTTCTATCTGGTTTGTGTGGGTTTGGGGTACAACACATAACAGGTTATGCAAATTCTGAAGAGAATTACTGCAGAGACTAGAAAAAAGCTAAGTGGAAAAGGTTATTTCCCTCAAGATGGTTATATCCTACAAAAGCTACCTGTTCCTCCAAACTGTCTATCCGTTCCAGTTGTTTCAGATGGCATTAGCGTCATGTCTTCAGTAAGCTATTTACAAACTAATTGGATTCTCTACCTTGCTGCTATGTTTGTTTTCATCATTGACTTATTGCTTTCATGTTGCTTCCAGGATCTCTCTATATCCATGCTTAAGAAAGTTCTTAAGCAAGTTGAAGTCATCAAAAGCTCACGGTCAGGTGCACCAAATTTTGAAGCGCATAAAGATGAAGCTAATTCTTTGCAATCAATGGTTGACCGGTATCTTCAAGTCAGGGGCACCACAAAGACATCCCGTGATGTAGATGGCCGTTATGGGGTAAACAAGGAATCCAGCGAATCCTCAACCAAAGCCTGGCTTGAGAAGATGAGGACTCTGTTCATAAGAAAAGGCTCTGGATTCTCTTCTCGCAGTGTCATAACTGGAGATGCATACACACAAGTGAACCAAGTTGGTATTCCATATGAGATTGCTCAAAGAATTACGTTCGAGGAGAGGGTCAGTGTGCACAACATGAGGTATCTGCAAGAGCTTGTGGATAACAAATTGTGCCTGACATACAGGGCTGGTTCTTCCACCTACTCTCTTAGGGAAGGTTCCAAGGGGCATACATTTCTACAACCTGGGCAAGTTGTGCATAGGCGGATTATGGATGGAGATACTGTTTTCATTAATAGACCGCCCACAACTCACAAACATTCATTGCAAGCACTTTCAGTGTATGTTCATGATGATCATACGGTCAAGATTAATCCTCTGATATGTGGGCCCTTAAGTGCTGATTTTGATGGTGACTGTGTTCATTTATTCTATCCTCAGTCCCTTGCTGCAAAAGCTGAAGTCTTGGAGCTTTTCTCAGTGGAGAAGCAATTGCTTAGCTCCCATAGTGGGAATCTGAATTTGCAGCTGACAACAGATTCATTGTTATCATTGAAGATGATGTTCAAGACCTGCTTTTTGGACAAATCAGCTGCTCAGCAGCTGGCAATGTTTGTATCACCTTGTTTGCCACAACCAGCTCTGTTGAAGGTCAACTGTATTCGCCCATACTGGACTGCCCATCAGGTTCTCCAGATGGCTTTACCAGCATGCTTCAACTGCTCCGGAGAGAGATTTTTGATCAACAACAGTAATGTTTTGAAGATTGATTTCAGTAGGGATGTCGTTGCGTCGATGATTAATGAAATTCTGATCTCAATGTTCTTTGAGAAGGGTTCTGGAGCAGTGCTTAAGTTCTTCAACTCCTTGCAGCCCTTGCTAATGGAAAATCTGTTCTCCGAAGGCTTTAGTGTTAGTTTGGAAGATTTCTCCATCTCCCAGGCAGTCAAACAAAGCATCCCAGAAAGTTTCAAGGTTATTTCTCCTTTGCTTTGTAACTTAAGGTCCACCTACAATGAGCTGGTTGAGTTGCAAGTAGAGAATCACATCCAGGATGTGAAACAGCCAGTTAAAGAATTTACTTTAACTTCCTCTGCCTTGGGTTATTTGATTGACTCTAAGAGTGATGCTGCTGTTACTAAGGTTGTTCAGCAAATTGGCTTCTTGGGCTTGCAAGTTTCTGATAGGGGAAAGCTTTACTCTAAGACTCTGGTTGAAGATTTGGCCTCTCATTTTCAGAGCAAGTATCCTGCCAATTTGGTTGATTATCCTTCTGCCCAGTATGGCTTGATTCAAAGCAGTTTTTTTCATGGGTTGGATGCATACGAGGAGATGGCTCATTCCATTTCTACTAGAGAAGTCATTGTGCGTTCCTCAAGAGGATTGTCTGAGCCAGGAACATTGTTCAAAAACTTAATGGCCATCCTCCGAGATGTGGTAATTTGTTATGATGGCACTGTAAGAAATGTCTGCAGTAATTCAGTCATCCAATTTGAGTATGGTGTGAAGGTGGGAGCCGAGTCCCAAAGTTTATTCCCTGCTGGTGAACCTGTTGGTGTCTTAGCTGCCACTGCAATGTCCAATCCTGCATATAAGGCTGTTCTTGATTCTACTCCAAGTAGCAATTCCTCGTGGGATATGATGAAGGTAGTCATTGCTTTATGCAAATTCTTCATCCTTCTAGAAGTTAGTTTTGCCATATTCTGCAGTGTAATGCTACATATCTTTCTGAACATTTTATTTCTTTTCAGGAAATACTTCTTTGCAAAGTTGGTTTCAAGAATGACCTAGCTGATCGCCGTGTGATTTTATACTTGAATTATTGTGGCTGCGGACGAGATTATTGCCAAGAAAAAGCAGCATATTTGGTCAAGAATCACTTGGAAAAAGTCAGTCTTAAAGATATTGCCAAGTGTTTTATGATTGAGTAAGTTCTGCGCTTGGTAGTTATATATCCTTTTCTCGCTTTCTTCTTTTGCATCAAATGAAAGGATGCATGTTGTCTCATGTATTTCAGTGATATTGTGCTGCATCTTTGGATGCCCTGTTCTCAAACTGTGCATCAATCAATTTTCTATTTATTCTGTTTATTCTCCTGTTTATTTTTATTTATAGATCCTATTTTTGCTTCCTTTTTTTTTTTTTTTTTATCATTTCTTCTGTTTTTTTCCAACAGTGGGATATTTATCAGTAACAATATGCTTGATATAAGATTATGAGTTACTGATGGCTTCTTACAAGCAGATACAGGAATCAACAATTACCAGAAAGTTTTGGAAGTGATGCAGGCCTTGTTGGTCATGTTCATCTCGAGAAGGTTACTACACTTGTTCCTGAATCATTGCAAATATTTTTGGAGGGCATACTTATATATGAAGTCCATGATTTGCTTGTTAAAACTCACTTCTTTTGTTAGTAATTGAAGCTTTATTTTACACAGAGGAAGTTGCGAGAGTTGAACATTAGTGCTCAGGTGATTCTTGAGAAGTGCCAAGAGACTGTCAACTCATTTCGAAAGAAGAAAAAAGTTGGCAATCTTTTTAAGAAGACAACTTTGTCAGTCAGGTTTGTTTCTCAATTTAATCTAAATTTGTACTGTTAGTCAATAATTGTGATCTTGAAACTCCCCTTTTTTTACCATTAATTTTCTGAAATGAGATGACATGCTGCCTGAAAGAAGAGTCAGTATTCAAAGATTTGGTTAAATTGATTGTTTTCTCCTGTTTTGTGAAGATTGGGTTTCTATCTTGTCTCCCATTTACTCAATGAATGATGATTGATTGATACAACTGTCAAATAAAATATATAGTTTGCCTATGAATTGAGATGATAGTTATGAAATTATATCAATTGGAGAGATCAAATGGAGAGATACAGATACATTCATCAAATAAAATATATGGTTTGTGTTAGAAGTGAGATGTTAAAGTTTTCCGAATGCATTGAAAAGTATTACCCTGAGATTCTGATGGAGAGACTGTACTGACAAGAAAATAGAAAAGGCTTTGCATCCTTTTTTTTGTTTCAAGATATAAGTTGTAGAGTTGAATTTGCAAAATATTTTGTTTTTGTTTCTGTTCATTTAGCCCTCCCCACTTATTTTCTGATATACTGTCACCTATAATTTACCACCTTGGCATGAGGTTACTTTGTTTAGTTTCAGTTGAAGTTCATTGCAATACCACATGGAACTGCTATCTAGGGTTGTGTATCTTGAATTGGTTGCTTTTGTGTCTCTTGATCATTACAGTGCACAAGCTATATTGCCAAAACTAAAAACCGGGTATCATATGATGTTAAAGGTGTGGAAGAGATTAATGCTTGACAAGGTGAAGAAGAGAATAGCTTAGATGTTATGCATGTAATTTAAGCTCGTGCATCCTGATTCAGTTCCATTTGGGATCACAACATTGCATGAGTCAATATGTAGCTTTGTTGCTATTACATGGCGAAGTTCAAAGTGCACAAGTACTTGATAGCGTAGGTGCTATTACATGGCCTCCAGATGTTTATATAGTGCGCAAGTGCTCTTCTCATGTTTGTACATGACTGTTAGCTTGCATATATTATTACTAGAAACATTATTATTTATGGCTTGAGAACACTAGTTAACTTCTATCTTCTATTTTGTGCTTCTTTATTAGCAATACAGTTGTTTATGTCTTGAAATGGCTAATTACTCCTCTCTTTGATTTTGTGCTCGTTGGCAGTGAATGTTGCTCTTTTGAGCAATGTACAGATGAATCGCCGTGCTTGATGTTTTTCTGGCAAGATGCCAATGATGTTCATTTGGAGAGGACTTCAAACATTCTTGCTGACATGATTTGCCCAGTTCTGCTGGAAACAATCATCAAAGGTATGCAATAATTTTTATTTATTTATTTATTTTTTTTGTGTCATGAAGAATATTTGCTTATGTTTCGATAAGTTGTCCTGATCAGATATTTCTAATAATTATGTTCAGTAGTGTGGAATTGCTACTCTTCTCCAATCTGTCTTTGGAAGTGTTTTTTGCATAAAAAGTGTGACATGCCTTGTTCATTTTATTTTGGTTTGACAATAAGCATAAGGCATAATGTGCAGAAAGGCTCCAAGAGAACACGGTGCAGCTCTATCAATGCATGCGGTTCTCTGGCCATTGCATGCATGCCCTGATTCCCTTCTCCCCTATGAGAAAAAATGTAACAATGTTGACATGGTGCTGAAAGTTGAGTAAAATCAGATAATTTTTGTTTGGCATGCCATGATATTTGTTTTAAGTTTCTTTGTCCCTAGAAGTTGCACTGTAGTTATTCTCCAAAGAACTTGTTTTCTGTTTCTCAATTCAAACAAATAACTCTTGTGAAAAAGAGTAATTTGTCTCTAAGCTATAACACATCTGCCTTTAATGAACAACTATCAACCTCTCTGGAAGCTTGAGAACAGAGCAAGCCGTATCCATTACGTTGCCAGGAAAGAAATTAAGGACCAGCTTTCTAAGTAATGGCAGTGATAAGTGACAAACGATTCTCTTTCATCGTCTTCCTACTCATAAACAACTATGACCATTCATGATTTTGGTTCAATGTGCATACTATTGCTCCTGTGTCCCAACCCTCCATTAATCTCCTTTTGAAGCATTATAATTCAATAAAGTGTTTCTTTCTATTCAGCTCTAAACATGTCCTTTCTTCGTACTGCAAATTTGCACAAGGTTGTAGAATTTTATTTGATTGGTCTCTTGAACATCATGTTAAACATAATATTTTGAGTCCTTCATTTCTTTGAGATGATACTGAGACGACAAATTCTTATATAAATGTGATAATGCAGAATTTTGCTGTAGGACTACTTTTTCAAATTTTTGCAAAAGCTTCTGGAGGATTATTATTTCGATTAATAATTTTGTGATATATTGCGTTATTTATGATTCATGTGAAGGCCTTTAATGCATGACTTTGTCTTGTTTGTGCTGTCTTCCATTCTAGGAGGATTCACCTTCATTCACATCCAAAGTGGTTAGATTTTATGAATTTTCAAGGTGTCATTCTTGTCAAGAAGTTAAAAGTAATTATTAGTTTCAATATTCATGGATATTTAAATCGTGTTAATTTATAGGTTAGATATTGCGAGCCTCATCAACACATGGATAACAACCATTTTCTGCGTCTAGATTTTTCTTAGTTGCTGTTGAAACATGATTTGCCTCCTTAGTAATCAGAGAATATTCCCTCCTTCCTCTCTTTCTATGATAAACATTAACCAATAAGCATCCTCTTAATATATTGGATACATAAATATAACGTGAAAGTGATTGCTGATGTTCTTTCTCTGAATTATCACTGATAGATATGTCTGGCCCTTAATTGTCATTACTGGACTGCTGATGTTCTTTCTTTTTCTATTTCAAGTTTTTATGTTTGTTTGTTTGTTTGTTTGTTTTTTTTTGAGCAATGCAATAGATATGCCTACTGAAATGGTAAAAGCATTCGCTTTGGTGCTGAAGAAATACTATTTTATTAGATGTGTACTTTTTATTTATCAATATTCGTGACCGGTGATTGATGTCAAATGCCCTTTATATGATTGATCAGGGTCTCAGGTTTGTTTGTCTTCATTTAGCATAAAAACTTGTAAAATGAGTTTTCTGCTTGCTTTTCTTCATTGTTTTTGCTAATTCTTTTATCCTTATTCATTTGGTACTGTGGATTTTTCTTGGATTTACTATATGAAATTTTGGTGATCATATGCATGTATGCCTTGTAAAACTTTCAACATGTGTAGAATTCATTATTTAATACGAGATCTGCTCTATCTCTGCAATGTGCAGGTGACCATCGAATTTCCAGTGCAAATATAATTTGGGCGAGTCCAGAGACAACAACTTGGATAAGAAACCCTTCCGGGAATCAAAAGGGGGAGTTGGCTTTGGATATTATTCTGGAGAAATCTGTTGTTAAGCAAAGTGGTGATGCTTGGAGAATAGTCTTGGACTCATGTCTTCCTGTTCTTCATTTAATTGACACCACACGTTCAATTCCTTATGCGATTAAACAAGTTCAGGAATTGTTGGGAGTTTCTTGTGCATTTGACCAAGCAGTTCAGGTAACACAGAAATTTTTCCCTTCTGCTTTTGAAGCAGTCTATTCCTAACCACCTGATGTGCATGCCCTCTTTCCTTCTTTACATTCCTCTGTTTTACAAGTTGGCTTTTATGAATGCTATCCTTGCTACAACTATGTGGATTTAACTTCAACTAGCTTGGTGATGCTGCGATATGCACTCTAAAATTATCAATAGATCCCCTCTTTTTACAGGGACATGACCAATTTTGTTCATCTGTCAGTAAAATCAAAATCCATTGTTGCCTGCCATATTTTTTATGGCATCTTTTATGAGTTATTCCTTTATGTGTCTTCTAACTGCAGTGTGTGTTAGTTCACATGTTTTGTTGTTTTGATCATTTGATATTTGTTCATGGAGGATTTGAACGTCCTCTTTACGTGGAAAGTGTGGCTGTCTCAGCCACTTTTGCATAATTTTTCCTCCCGTCACTAACTGATCATTAATATTATTTGCACAAGACTGCTATTTGATAATAGAAAATTGCCTAGTCATTTCAATCCTGAAACATTGTACGGTATGTTTCTCCGACGCATCTACATCTTATGAAGTAATTGGAGCCTACATCTTACCTTCTTTACTACTCTATTCTGTAAACAGTGCTATTTTCTTTATGCGCATGTTAATGAAATTATCTTTCATGCTAAACTCTCCCTGCCCAATAAACATGCCACCGCCTTCCCTCTCTTGTCAAAAAAAGAAAAAAAGGGAAAAAAAAGGAGATAAATCTGGTAATGTGCCTCCTCTCCACTAAAAGATTGTCAAAGTAACATATCATTAGTGGATAAAGAGAGATTATGATGGACAATGGATACAGTTATCTGTTCAGTGTATAGCTTTCTGTTTCTCGTTGGATCAATTTGGCTGAGTTAATTAATGCAGGGTTTGCAAGTCTCTTTTGCACTATGGAAAGGCTCAATTTGTTGTTGATTTTGCAGCGCCTCTCAAAATCGGTAACCATGGTGGCAAAAGGTGTTCTGAAAGAACATCTCATTTTACTTGGGAACAGTATGACATGTGCTGGAAACTTGATCGGTTTCTATACTGGAGGTTATAAAACATTATCTCGGTCATTGGATATCCAAGTGCCATTTACTGAGGCCACACTCTTTGTAAGTCTTTTCAATGTGTTTCAAGTCTCTAATACATAATCTGTGTCAGTCTATTAAATGAGCCATATTTATATATGGTATACAGACACCAAGAAAAATTTTTGAAAAGGCTGCAGAGAAGTGCCACACTGATTCTTTATCAAGCATAGTTGCTTCTTGCTCATGGGGCAAACATGTTACTGTTGGAACAGGTTCACACTTTGATGTCCTCTGGGACACAAGAGAGGTACTGTTTATCTCTTCAATAGGAAAGTTGCTTTCCGGAAGCTTTTATAGCTAGATTACTCAGTCCTTGTGTTCTGCTCAAATTTTCGGCTCATCTTTCCAATTATATCATTCTCTATTTCAGGCATCTTTGAATCCAGAGGGTGGCATAGATGCATACAGTTTTCTAAATATGGTGAGAAGTACTGCAGGTGGAGAAGATTCAGTTACTGCTTGTTTAGGTGCCGAAGTTGATGATCTTATTCTGGAAGACGAAGACTGGAACCTGTCTCCTGAGCATAACTCTAGTTCTGATAAGCCTACCTTTGAAGACAGTGCTGAATTCCAAGACTTCTTAGACAATCAACCTGCCAAATCAAACTGGGAAAAAGCTTCATCTTTAAAGGATGGGTCTAGGAGTGCTGGAAATTGGGATGTTGATAAAAATGATGGAGCTGGTAAGGAAAAACCTTGGAGTTTCGGAATGAGTACAGCTGAGACAAATGATGTTGTTTCCAATGGCTGGGACACTGCAGCTACCAGGAAGACAAATTCCTCCTGGAATTTAGAGAATGATGTAACTCAGTCCAATTCCTGGTCTGGTTGGGCAACAAAAAAACCTGAAACCCATAATGGCTTCGTAACAGAAGTCCAAGAAGAACCTGCAAAGTCCAATGATTGGGATGCTGATACTGCCTGGGGCAGAAAGGCTGGAGATAACAAATTTGCAAATGAGACAAATGCATCAAAGTCTTGGTGGGGGAAGGTAACAGATGGTGATGAATCTGGACAAAATAAAAACGAGCAACGTACAGAAGTCCAAGAAGTAGGGACACTTGGTTGGGATGATAAGATGTCCCAGGGCCAGTCAATATCTGGTTGGGCTTCTACAAGCACCCAGGAGGCTACAACTGAATCCTTCAGTCGGAAGTCTGCCTCTGTTTGGGGGAAAGAGAATACCAATGTTGACGAACATGGAAGTGAGAATCATGTTCTTCTGAACCAAGGAAAAGAGTCATCTGATTGGGATAGCAAGGACAATTCAAAGCAGGCAGATGCTGCAAGTGGTTGGAAGGCTGCATCCTCTTGTGGGGCAAAAAGTACAGATGCTGATAAATGTTGGGGTAACAAGGTGACTTCAAATCAGGCAGACACAGCCTCTGGTTGGGGGAAACCCCCGTCACCAGATCGTGGATGGGGGGTGTCAAATTCTGGTGGTGGCAATGGAAGTGAAAGGGAGAACAATACTGAAAATCAATCTCTGTTGGACCAAGGGAAAGATTCAGGTGGTTGGGGTAATAAGGCAACTTCGAATCAGCCAGACACAGCCTGTGGTTGGGGGAAACCTGAGTCACCAGAAATTTCACAAGGCTGGGGCTCGTCCAAAGACTCAGTTAGGGCAGTTGATGGATGGGGGGTGCCAAATTCTGCGGGTGGAAATGGCAGTGAAAGGGATCAGCAATGGGGTCAGCAGGGTGGAGAATTCAAGAAAAACCGCTCTGAAGGTTCTCGAGGTTGGGGATCCAATAATGGAGATTGGAAAAAGAGGAACCGCCCTACTAAACCACATGAGGATTCTAGTTCAAGCGGGCTATTTACCGCAACTAGGCAGCGGTTAGACATATTTACTTCTCAAGAGCAGGACATTCTCTCTGATGTCGAGCCATTAATGCTTTCTATTAGAAGAATAATGCATCAAACTGGGTATGTTTTCTATGCTATTTGCTCGTAAATTCTCCAAAAATACAAGTTAGTAATTACCTTGCTCATCATAGCACAGCATATTTCTTATTGAGTTGGTATCCTGTTTTTGTTCTTCATAAATTTGCAGCATTTATACCCTTTTCTTCATGTTACCATTTTGTAAATTTTCTTAACATGGAATTCCTTTTGAAGGCACAATGATGGGGATCCGTTATCTGCTGATGATCAGTCCTATGTGCTTGATAATGTCTTCAATTATCATCCAGACAAAGCAGTGAAGATGGGTGCTGGAATCGATTATGTCACTGTATGTTTTCTGGGTGACCTATTGCCTTGCTATTTTTTGCTTGAGCTATGTTCAGTTGTTCACTATCCTCATGCTACACTAAGTTTAGGATTCTGTATCCTTATGTCTTTTGAGTAGATATGTTATTCATGCTACAACTCTCATTTGCTAGTGTTATTATAGGTCTATTTAAGTCCAATCTCTTTTGTTTCTCTAAACAAATATCCAATTTTATCTGTTGCTTGCCTGCACTTTTAAGTTCTTTGTTATTTGATGACTTGTAATGGTGTTCTACATTCCCTCTAGTAGTAATAATTCCATGCATAATGATAATTTTTCGTTGTCCTTCCTTATGAAATGTAATTCTACACTAGTACAGAATGTGGCTCGCAGACTTTCTATTGCTGATAGTAGGACATGTGATAAGGCTTTTAGGTAGGAAGTCAGTTCTCTATCAGATTTCCCCTGATGTCAAGAGAAATGGCTATTTTTTAGAATGGATGATTAGGTGAAGTGTCTTGTTGGTGTTTGTAAATGACCTGTTATTCACTGTGTTGGGTTTTTCCTGCCTGAACCTGTATTCTAGTTTGACTTGAATAGTTAGCAAGAATGTAGTGAAATTCGGATCAGTTTTTCCATATCAATTTGTGGATGATGGGCGAGAGATGGTTAGATGTTTGGTAGGGTTTGAGACAACACTTGAGAGGGTGAGATGGCCTTTCTGGTTCTTCACAGGGTTGTCATTTTCGGTGTGGTGAACCATCCCTACTGTTTCATGCTTTTATCTATTTGGGAGAAGATCCTCCATTTGCATTTGTTGCTTTGACATAATAATTGAAAAGGCATAGTGCATACAGCATGATGCATCTTTTTACATCTGACATAATCTGTGTTTATGTGCAAGGTATAATTAAAATTGTTTTAATGTAACAGGTTAACAGGCACAGCAGTTTCCAGGACAGCAGGTGCTTCTACATTGTCTCAACTGATGGCTGCAAACAAGATTTTTCCTACCGCAAATGTCTGGAGAACTTCATCAGGGGAAAATATCCCGACTTGGCAGATGAGTTCATTGCAAAGTATTTTGCAAGAAGAGGCAATCGGCAGCGCACCCCTGCTCCAGATGGAACCGAGGAGGAGAAACAGGCCGCGTGATGTTCGACTACGAGGGTTGTACAAACATTTTGGTTATCTGCTCTTTTGATTTGTATATATAAAGCAGGTCTTTTGGTATATTTTTCTTGAAGCTAGCTGTAGTTGAAGGCATGCTTTCTTATGAACTGCCCCTTTTTTCCATTACAGGCGCAGTTCTTGTAACTGAGGTAGTGATCTGAATATAAAAGAGCAAGCCTTTTCATTAACACCGCATGTGAATATCAATATAGTGAAATATCCCTTTCCCCAATTGTCTTATACTGTCTCATCTTATGATGGTTCATTGAAATTTTTGGTCTTACTTGTGGATATCATTTGGGTTCCATCGTTTGAGGTGCCTGATTTTGCATGAAAGATGCAGGGACAAAGTACTAAACCCATCCAGCAAGACTCTGTACTCTTTCTAAATTCCTCTAATGCAAGTCCCAAGTGGTGGCTCAGCATCCAATTTCTTTTGTCTAATAGAACTTTCGCATAACAAGACTTCAATCATCGTCGATCCTTTCTTCTTTATGATTCATAGGCTCATCTCCTTTTGATTTTAAAGAATCAGTCAATAATAATAATATAAAACTTGAATAGAATTAATTATTCCAGACCTTTTTTCAAACAGTTTACATATTCAGATTAGTCAAATTCACGTATTCAAACTAATCAAAGTAACAAGGTAGAATGGGTCAAATGTAAGAAAAACTTGCTGGTTGAAACAGAGGAAACGAAGCAAGCTTGGTTGCAGTTTCAGATGAATCAAAACCTTGAAAGTATGTTCGGCAAATGCTGTGTGGTGGCGTTATTTTTGGTTGTTGAAGTAGCAGTTGCAGCATTGTCCAACAATGGCTTCATAGTTTTAAATAGCAACTTAGTTATAATAACAGTTATGATTGCGATCACAAGTTATGGCAATAAGATCATAAGTTATGGCAATAAAATAACAATTGTCATAATCGATGTTGTTAATATATTATTAACGGTTAATAAATTTATTATAATTTATATATTTTTAATAATTTTACTAATCAAATATAATAATAACATCTCCAATAGTTTGATATCATACAATAATAATTGAATTTATTATTAAAAAAAATTAGTAACACTTTTAATAGTTTAGTATTACACAAAAAATATTAAAAATATTATAATTTCAAGATATTCACACATGTAGTATCTAAAATAGTATATAATAGATTCAAATTTTTTTAAAATAGCGTATAATAGATTCAAAATTTTAAAACAGAGCAAAATATATATATATATAATGTCGCTATTAGATAAAGAACGACATCACGTAATAATAATACCATTATTTGCGATTATTTATGTAAAATGGTGACGTACACTCTATAAAAGAGAATAATAGTAATGAAAGTATCTAAAATCGTTTTTATAACCACCATTACGTTCCGTAAGGGCTGTTATTTGAAACCATGATAGCTGTACCTTCAACGGAAATTGAAAACTGTGTGGTGTAGCGGAGGTTTAGAGGGTGGGTTGAGGAAGCTCGGATGATGATTCAGGTCATTACTTAATAGTGCGATTAAGTCTCTTCCCTCGTGGACAAAGAATTTTCTTTTGGTGCATGTACCGAACCGTCCAGCAAGACACTGTAATCTTTCTATTAATTCAAGTCCAAAGTGGGGGCTGTGCATCCAATTTCTTATGTCTCGTTGAACTTTGGCACAACCAGACGTGAGGCAAAAGAACTTGTTGGTTGATACAGAGAGGAAACGAAGCAAAGCCTGGTTGCAGTTTCAGATGAACAAGAACCTTGAGACCATGTTCTCCAAATGGTATGTGGGATTATTTCTGCTCTTTATCAAAGTGGCAGATTTGAGTGATAATGGTTTTATCTTCAGTGGAAATTTCGAACTGGGTGGTGTAGCTGAGCACTCGCGAAATGGTCTCTTCAAGCTCACTAACTCCTCAAGATTTGGTGTTGGCCATGCTTTTTTTCCTCAGCCACAGAACTTTAAGAATTCATCAAATGGTAGCTCAGTTTCCTTTTCCACCACTTTCGTATTTGCGTTTGTCGATGAAACCGAGCAGCTCCCTGGTCATGGGATGGCCTTTGTGATCGCACCTTCCAAAGAAATAGCTGGAGGTTCGTCATCTCAAAATTTGGGTTTATTTAACCGCACAACTAATGGGAGTCCGTCTAATCATATAGTGGCCATTGAGCTAGACACGTTCCAAAATCAAGAGTTCAATGACATCAATCACAATCATGTTGGCATCGACATCAACAGCTTAACATCAGTCAAATCTGCTCCCGCAGGTTATTTCAATGATGAAAATGGGGAATTCAAGTATCTCTCTCTTTCTAGTGGAGAACCAATGCAAGTTTGGGTGGAATATGATGCCTCAAAGACTCAACTTACTGTAACGTTAGCTCCAATTCACACAAGTAAGCCAAACCTCCCACTTTTGTCTTTGGATATAGATATTTCACCGATCGTTTTAGAGCAAATGTATGTGGGGTTTTCTTCCTCAACTGGCCAACTAGTACGATCCCATTACGTTCTGGGTTGGAGCTTTCAGCTTGATGGTGAAGCGCAAGAACTTGATCTTTCACAGCTTCCACCTTTTCCTGGTAAAGAACAATCCAAGAAGAAAGGAGCTGCATTGGTTGTTGGATTGTCCGTAACTGGAGCAGTTTTGTTGACCATAATTACCATCTCCATCCTCATCATGGTTTGGAGGAGAAAAAAGGCTCAATTCACTGAGATACTAGAAGACTGGGAGGTACAGTATGGATCTCATCGGTTCTCATACAAGGAGTTGCTTGAGGCCACCAAAGGTTTTAGCGAAAGTGAGCTTCTCGGAAAGGGAGGCTTCGGAAAAGTTTATAGAGGCGTGTTGCCTGTGTCAAATGTCCAGTTTGCAGTAAAGAGAATCTCTCACAATTCCAAACAAGGAATGAAAGAATTTGTTGCAGAGATTGGCACCATCGGTCAGCTACGACACCCCCACTTGGTTCGAGTTCTTGGCTATTGTCGAGGTAAAGAGGAGCTCCTTCTGGTGTATGATTACATGCCTAAAGGAAGTCTTGACAAGTTCCTCTATAGCAAGACTAAGGTCATTCTTAATTGGAACCAAAGGTTTAAAATCATCAAAGACGTAGCACTAGCACTCACATATTTGCATGAAGAATGGGCAGAAGTGATCATTCACCGAGATATCAAGGCTAGCAATGTACTGTTAGATGGCGAATTAAATGCGAAACTCGGTGACTTTGGACTTGCAAGATGCAGCAAACATGAACGGGATCTTCAAACCACTCATGTAGCTGGCACATTAGGCTACATTGCACCTGAGCTTGCTAGAAGTGGCAAGCCAACTCCAAGCACAGATGTTTATGCATTTGGGGCATTTTGCTTGGAAGTTGCTTGCGGTCGAAGGCCGGTGGAGCCAAGAACATCGGCGAAAGAGACGATTCTCGTGGATTGGGTCTACGATTTTTGGATGGAAGGGAAGATCTTGAGTACAATGGATCCTAAACTCAATAAAGAATGCAAAGTTGAGGAAGTTGAACTAGTTTTGAAACTTGGACTACTTTGCTCACATAGTGTAGCAGAGGCTAGACCGAAAATGTCTCAAGTTTTGATGTACTTGAAAGGTCAAGCTTCACTCCCTGAGAATTTGAATGCTCATATCAAGGCACGGGAAGGAAGAGGAGAGTCTGAAAATCATGCAGTATTGTATTACTCTACACCATCTCTAACAATCACCAACTCTCTCATTTCTGTGGGTCGTTGATTGGAGTAATTATATGGGATTCTACAAGTTGTTTTCATGTCTCTCCTCGTCTTTAATTCACTGAAAATTATTGTGAAGGTAAATTCATTAAGCAATTTTGATTATGAGTTTGCAAGGCCATAATATGGGCTAATTTTTAGGATTAGTGACTGTATTCTTGATATTTTCTTGATGTAGCCTTTCTATTCTTTATTTATTTTTTTAGTTGGTCCCTTTACTCTATATATTGTTTTAATGTGGTTCTTATACTAAGATTTCAGTCAATTTTTCACCAACAAATGACAGGTGCACTGTCACCTTAAATAATGACACATTTAAAAAAGAAATTAATTTTAAAAAATAGTAAATTAATAAAAAAAACTAAAAAATTGAAATTTTTGTGTGTCATGTGTTGCTATTATCTGACTTGGTAGTCTACTTGCCATTTATTGTCGGAAAAGTTAACCAAAACCTGATCAAATTAGTCATATTAAAAAAAATATTTAGAACAGAGGAAACAAATAAATAAAGAGTAAAATAGCTACATTAATAAAATGTCAAAAAATACACTAACCAAATATGATATTCGTCCTTTTTTATGTTATTAACAAGGGCCAGTTTTAGTTTGGTTTGGTTTGGGACAAATTCATGTGTTATGGGCTACATGGTCCATACCATTTGCATTTGGGTTATGGCCCGATTTCAAATAAAATAAAATACGTTAGGGATCAATTACACGATGGAGATAGTTTTTAATAAAATAAATCTTTGTCATTAGGGTAAAGCTAGTTTTGGAATTGTCCCCTTTAGCCTCATCTGTGTAAGAGATGATTCTGAAAGGACAATTATTTTTTCTTAGTGGGTAACATCATTATGTGGTTTGGATCCATCCAAGTATAAAATATATATTTTTTTCTAAATCAATTTAAAAAAAAAATCTCATGTGTTGAGTAAATAAATCCTTAAATGGATCTTATGAATTCAATAATTGATTATCTTATTAGCAAATTGCAGGTTTTAGACCTAACCAATTATAAGATATATATTTTTTTCTAAATCTTTTTTTTTAAAAAAAAAATCTCATGTGTCCAATAAATAAATTCTTGGATGGATGTTATGAATTTAATAATTGATTATCTGATTAGCAAATTCCAGGCTATCATTGTGAGGTTTAGACCTAATCAAGTATAAGATTTTTTTTTTCTAAATCACTTTAAAAAAAAAAATCTTATGTGTTTAATAGATAAATCCTTGGATGGATCTTATTAGCAAATTACAAATAAATATACTAATAAGATAGCATTACCTTTGTCTTTATTAATTTCCAACAAGGTAATTATCCTACAATCACTTGACTAAAATAGACAATAAGACATAAAAGCATCTGACCCAATTGCAATTTTTCCCTTACTGCAAAATTCACTTTTCTTGCAGGTGGGGCCGTGGGGCCCAGTTGGAGAAGCAATTCTGACGTGGTAATCACATCCATTTTACCAACAAAAACACAACACGTGCTGATAGAAAAGACGAAACTAGAAAGGAAAAAAAGACAGAAGGGCTAACTGCATCCAAGTACTCCAACTGCCATAAAATTTTCAATCACATTCTTAATCTAGCTGAAGTTTCAACTACACCATTGATTTATCATTGCAAGGACAGTAATAGCTCCCATCTAAATAGTATTAGTTCTTCTCTAGTGCAATATATATATTCTCAATTAATTCAAAGATAAGTAAGATAAAAACTTATGAGATCATGGTTTAAATCTTATCTTCGTCAATCTGACTTATAAATTTGGGTTTAAATGATAATTATATCGAGCTAACTATATATTTATTTAAAATTTATTTTAACTTACACTTAAAAGAATGTAGGTTTGAATTTTTTTTTTAACTAAATCTATATTAATGGTTGTTAAGTTGTGAAAATTAATATAAATATAGCCTATAATTTAGTACTCTACGCGAGACGACATGATAATCTCATTATAGATCAATTAGATTTTTTATAATTTTAATTATCCAAACTATAAATATAGATAATATATTTTATATTTTATACTCGTCAATTGAGAAACGAGTAATAAAAACTTATAGTGTAGTCATGGAATAGATATATTTGTCGAACTATATAACTCTCTATGTTGTGTGATCGTTTTTTGTTTATTATGTAGTTGATTATTACATTATTTTTTTAACAATAACTTGCCGTTGCATCAATTATGATATACCAATGGTGGAATTGAAACTTTTGCTAGACTGTGGCCTAATTAAAACCTATACAATAATTGGAGGGTATAATGTAGTTTGCTAAAAAGAATTTGACAATTATTAAAGATTTTAACTCTTTATCCAAAATTTTATCCACCGTTAACTGCCCCACTCCAACAACTTAGTTGTTTTTATCAGTTTTAGTTTCATAGTTCAGTCCAGTTCAGTTCCTTGGTATTTTCATCTTGGCTTACTTCTTCTCTCTTTCTCTATCACACAACACTGTGTTTAATGTTTGATTTGTGCTGACTGTTTGCGGTGTAGTGTTGTTATATGGTCTAAGAATGACATCTTTGGTATCACAAATGGTGTCTCCAGTGGAAACTGGACATAAAGTTTGGCAAGATCAGTCTTTTATTAAGTGGAGAAAGAGAGATCCTCATGTCACTTTGCACTGCCATGAATCTGTTGAAGGTAAAGTAAAAAAAGAAAAGAAAACTTTTAGACACCCTTTATCTTGCGAACTTTGGTAGCATCGGGAGACAGTACTGTTCTTGTCGCCTTCAATATTATAATGATGAATAAGTTTGATCGTTTTTTTGAACTTTTTAATGGGATTGATTCTGTGATTTAATCAAGTAGGCTTTGATTTTATTTTTTTTCGGCTTGGTTTTCAATTTGAATTTCCAAAATTTTGATTCTTAGTATTTGTTCTTTGTTGAAGTCCTTTAGTTTCAAATTTTTATGATTGGGAATTTGGTTTTGATTATTATTGCAGCACTTCTTTTAAGACTGATTTTGGTTCTTGCATAGATAAATGTTTGGTCTTCTCAGGAGTTTTTTTCATTTTTGTCCTTCCTGGTTTTTGATTGATTTCAAGCTTAATGAAATAGTTTTGAAGGTAAATCGCAATGTTGATTGTGAATTTTTCCTATATATGTTCTGTCTTCTTATATACGATTGGATTATATCCTTTCATCCTTTGTGTTTTTTATTTATTTTTCAAGTTTCTGATTTTATTTAGTATCTATATTGTTGCTTGAATGAATGATAAACTGATAATTTTGGAATTCTTTTTTAATCTTTCCTGTACTATTTTCATTTTTTGTAGAATGGCTTTTACCTGATTTTGCATAAGTTCTTGTATCCAAATTATTTCTCTCAGTTTTATGGAAATCTGGCATCGTCTTTTTTGTAGGATCTCTTAGATACTGGTATCAACGCAACAAAGTGGATCATTTGGTATCTAAATCCGCTTTTTGGAATGATGATGCCGTTCAAGCAGCTCTTGATTGTGCAGCTTTTTGGGTTAAAGATTTGCCTTTCGTTCAATCTTTGTCTGGGTTTTGGAGATTTTTCTTGGCTCCAGACCCTACAAGTGTTCCGAAGAAATTTTATGGCACTGCTTTTGAGGACTCAGAGTGGCAAACTTTGCCTGGTAATTGCCATTGTTTTTTCATGAAATTAGAAGTTGAATCTTCAGGATTTTATTCCCTGGTGATTTTCTTGTTCTCTGTAGTTTTGAACTTTCATAATTATAACCGAAGTAGGGTTCTAGTAGATTAAAAAAAATCATAAATAACAACTGCAACATAAAGTAATTTTCTTCATTTATCAATTTATGCTGGATTATCTGAAATATGTAATACTTGGATATATCTAGTAACTTTTTTCCCTCATTGGAACAGTCCCTTCAAATTGGCAGACGCATGGATATGATCGACCAATTTATACCAATATAATATATCCATTTCCAGTTGATCCTCCTCATGTTCCTGATGAAAATCCTACTGGCTGCTATAGAACATATTTCGACATTCCTAAAGAATGGCAAGGTATGATCTTTTGTTATGCATTACCAGTCTTAGCTGATTATTGTGTCTCCAAATGCTTCTTGATGGCTGTTTCTGCTTCCTTTCGATATATAATTAATAGAACATCAAATTTCTGGAATTTAATGTATTTTATCTGTCTGCATTATGTTAATTGGCGTATGACAGGTCGGAGGATTTTGTTGCATTTTGAAGCCGTTGATTCAGCATTTTGTGCTTGGATAAATGGGGTTCCTGTGGGATACAGGTATCTAATGCACTCTTTTTTTTTTCTTCTCATTTTGGGATTTGTATGTCTTAAGGTGACCATAACTCTGCTTCTTATATTTTATCGCTTTTGGAACTTAATGAAATCTTCTTAGTGTGAGCTGTATCAGTTACATTTTATGTAATTGAATACATTGTGTACCTTACAGTGATTTATGTTGACAATTTATTCAATTAAATTATGTTACAGCACCTATGCCATGAATTGTGGAGATTAGAAAGGAATGAGGGAAATCTCACAATTTGATTATGCTCTTACATAAAATTCAGTAACAAAAGTTTTATTATTCTATCAACTCAGTCAGGATAGCAGGCTACCTGCTGAGTTTGAAATCACAGATTACTGTTATCCATGCGGCTCTGGCAAGAAGAATGTTCTAGCTGTTCAAGTCTTTAGATGGAGTGATGGGTCTTACCTTGAAGATCAAGACCATTGGTGGTTGTCCGGTATTCACAGAGATGTGCATCTTCTTTCCAAGCCTCAGGTTTTTTTTTTCTCTCTTCATCGTTGTTAAATTAGCTGTTGTTTCTTTTAGAATGAACATAATTAGGAACAGTGTTTGGAACATATTTGATATGCAGGTATTCATTGCAGACTACTTTTTCAAATCAAACCTGGCTGAGAATTTTACTTATGCAGATATACAGGTCAGGTTTTAATGGGAAGTAATAATTGTAATATCTTTGGCTATTGTTCTCAAACTGAGTCATTTTGAAGGAAAATTTGAGTTTATTTCTGTGTGCTTACCATTCAGGTTGAAGTGAAAATAGAAAGCTCTCTAGCGATTCCTAGAGACAAAATTCTTTCCAACTTCACCATAGAAGCCGCATTATATGACACTGGAAGCTGGTACAACAGTGAAGAATCTGCTGATCTGCTTTCATCCAATGTGGCCAATTTAAAGCTCACTCACCCCCTATGGGAATTCTAGGATTTCTGGGTAATGTCCTTGAAGGGAAACTCGAAATACCCAAGCTTTGGTCTGCAGAGCAGGTGAGGAAACTCAATTCTTTTGGATTTGCTGGCAACTCGATATGTTACACAGTTTAGTTCTACCATATTCTTGTTTTCTGTATGTGCATATGATATTTTATTCTTTAGTTCTCCATTAGGTGGTGGTTTGAAGCACAAGCATATAAATTACTTGAGCAGAGCTGTAATAAGAAGTTTGAAGGAATAAAAACTGTGCTCTTCTGATTTGGTCCATATAATTTATGAACACTAAACGTTTCAACAATTTTTTTATATTTATGACTTTTCACTTTTTCCAAGAGATTCTGAAATGGCTTCCTCACCTCCCTTTTCTTCATAAGTCGTCCATCACCTGATGTTGTGGATTTTGGTGTTTTCTTGTGTTCATCCACAGCCAAACCTGTACATTCTTGTTATCTCCCTCAAAGATGCAACTGGACAAGTAGTTGACTGTGAATCATGCCTAGTAGGCATAAGACAAGTATCAAAGGCCCCAAAACAGCTGCTTGTTAATGGGCATCCAGTTATAATAAGAGGTGTGAACAGGCACGAACATCACCCACGTGTAGGGAAGACAAATATAGAGTCCTGTATGATTAAGGTCACTCTCTACTCTCTCCTTGTTAGTTACCTCTGCTTTCTTGGTTGCAGTTTATCTGATTTATAATGGAGATATTGTTTATTCTTCTGCTTACAGGATCTGGTTCTAATGAAGCAAAACAATATGAATGCTGTGAGGAACAGTCATTATCCCCAACATCCTCGCTGGTATGAGTTGTGTGATCTTTTTGGCATGTACATGATAGATGAAGCCAACATTGAGACACATGGCTTTTGTCTTTGCGAACATCTGAAGCATCCTACTCAGGAACAAAGTTGGGCTGCTGCAATGATGGATCGTGTGATAGGCATGGTAGAGAGGGACAAAAATCATGCATGCATAATTTCTTGGTCCTTGGGAAATGAAGCCTCATATGGACCTAATCATTCTGCTGCAGCGGGTATCATTCAATACTTTATGCATATCTTTGAGTTGGGTTCTATTTGAGCCACTTCCAGAAATCTAAGCAATTGCAATATTTATCATATATGATTATCTTGCTCTGCTTCTGTTTCCATTTTTCACATAATATCATAATTTTTAGATAGAATTGGATTATACTTGTGTCTCTTTTTGTGTGTGAGAGACTTGAGCATGTGTGCACTATTTCTGAAATCTGGCCACTTAATAACATTTAGAGACACTAATTGTTTTTTTCTGTTTACATTATATGCTTAAATGCTGGAATTTAACCTTCTCATTTTTTCACATGGAAAGACATTGAAATTGTGGAAATGATTTACTAAAAACCTGTACGGTGGCCTCCAGCAATTATTTCCACTTGTAATTAAATGGCAAAATTTAGGTTTTGAGAAAGGTTCAAATGTTAAATATTTAACTTGCGAAGACATTGGAAGAAACAATTTTCATAAAAGGAGCATGCAATACATCTTTAATAATATGAAATAGTTTGTTTTGTTTCAGAGGCAATCTTTTGCAGGGAAGACATAGATATTGAAAATTTACATGGATAATAGATCATTTAGGTGGACTTGTTTCTCAGGAGCTGGATACTGTTGTTAGAAGAATTGAAGTTTTAACCAAACAATATGACTTATATTTTTCCATTCCTTTTTTCTCATTGGTTATCCACATCACTTACTGTTCTCTTTTATTTAGGTTGGATTCGTGAAAAGGACAACTCACGGTTGGTGCACTATGAAGGAGGTGGATCCAGAACAACATCCACTGACATCGTGTGCCCAATGTATATGCGTGTTTGGGACATAGTGAAGATTGCAAAAGATCCGACTGAACCACGTCCTTTGATATTGTGCGAGTATGTTTCCTATGTTCTTTTACATGAGTTATTGACCTCGTAACTGTTCTTAGATGTCTTAATTACACTCTGTAGTTCATCTCTTAATCATGGTAGTAACTTCATTTTTTCCTATTTATGTTTGGCAGGTATTCACATGCAATGGGGAATAGCAATGGGAATATACATGAATATTGGGAAGCAATTGATAGCACATTTGGTCTCCAAGGAGGCTTTATATGGGATTGGGTTGATCAGGTTTAAAATCCTTTTTGTCCCTTAAGAATTATGTCACAAGAGATCATGTGTGAAATTGATTTTCTGCCATCTTAGGCATACCAAAAATCTTTATTTTTCATTTTGAAAATCATCTGCAACTTTAAAAATCTTTTGCTCTTAGGATTGTTCCACCCTACCACACTCAGCATAATTTTAAAATACAGAATGAAGACTACAATGACTATTATGGGATATGCACTTGTTCGAGAATATGGATTCATTGCTCTTTTTTTTATTATTTGCTGTCGGTTTAAAAGCCTCAGTTTGTGATAAAGACCATAAATATTTTCCACATTAAATATGTCAAATTTATTTTTGAGAAAAATATTTTCAGACATTTTTGTTCATAAAATCAAGTATTTGCTTTGCCTGTAGGGGTTATTGAAGGACAGTGTAGATGGTAGTAAACATTGGGCTTATGGAGGTGACTTTGGGGATACACCTAATGATCTGAACTTCTGTCTGAATGGCCTTACATGGCCAGATCGTACTCCTCATCCTGCATTGCATGGTAAATTTATTTTTTACATAAGGAATATGCATCTTTGTACTTCCATTCATCGTTTAAGATCTTATCTAGACCTCAAAATTTTGTTCAAATCATGAATCATTTTAGTTATTGTTTGCAGAAGTTAAGTTTGTTTATCAGCCAATCAAAGTTTCACTAAAGGAAAACAAAATAAAGGTACTCACACGTTTCACTCAGCTTCTGCGTATCTCATCCTTTGCAAATCTCAATTTCACATCTAACTGAAATTTGAATTTGCAGATAACCAACACCCATTTCTATCAAACAACACAAGGCTTAGAGTTTAGCTGGGTCACCCAGGGTGATGGATGTGAACTTGGATCAGGGATTCTCTCTCTACCACCGATAGAACCTCAGAGCAGTTATGAGTTAGAATGGGAGTCAGGTCCTTGGTATCCTCCATTGGCTTCTTTTGCAGAAGAATTTTTTTTAACGATAACCACTAAACTTCTGCATTCCACACGCTGGGTTGAAGCTGGTCATGTTGTTTCATCTACACAAGTGCAGTTACCTACCACAAGAAAGATCGTACCTAATGTATATGCTCTTCCTTTATACTTAATTGGATAATATCATTTATATTTGAAGATTCTTACAGCTATGCCTTTTGGTTTGCAAATGGTGTTGGCTTCCAGGTTATCAAAACTACAGATGCTAAAGTCTTTTGTGAAACTCTTGGAGATACAATTAGAGTCAGCCATCCCAACTTTTGGGAGATAACATGGAACATTCAAACTGGAAGTGTTGAGAGCTGGAAGGTATAGCATTGTGTTTATGAATTGGTTCTCTATATCATATTTAGTTCATTGAAGCTAGATACATAAATACATGAACTCCTATTTTTCTCTCCTTTTTCAATGTTTTCCTCCACAATTGGAGCCTTGATAAATCTAACAACTTGTGGTCATGATTACTTCAATAAAACCACTTTCACACATGGAAAATAATGTTGGCTTTCTCATTTGGCAAGAAACATCTCCTTACAGAAGTGCATTAAAAACAAAAGAATCTCACATTGTAATCTAACTAATCATAAACTAATTGACCCTAGCGCTTCAGTTTAAGCAACAAAGATCTCTCTATTATCGAAACACAAGAATGTAGTGTGATTTCTTTTAATGCATGAAAGAATTGTTATCTGATCTGGAGCAATAACAATGATGCTTCCAAAGAATATATGTGTGGCATCTGCATGTTCTATTTTTTCCTGCTTTTTCCATTAATACTTGGAATGACGTGGTAGGTTGACCTTAGGGCTTGAATTTAAGCCAAAATGATCTCTCTATTATTGAAACGCAAGTTGTTGTGTAATTTCTTTATAATGCATGGAACATTTATTCTCTGATATGTCTCTGAATCTTGTGTTTGTAGTTCATAGGATCCGGAAAGTCTTTATTCTCTGGCGACCTAATAAGAAGTTTTGGACTAAATCATGTCCTCCTCCCCTCAAAAATTGCTTTATTGACATGAACAAAGCTCAGAATGCTATCAAAAGATTTCCATTTTGAATTTCACGTTTTCAGGTTACTTAGAAGACTCCATATAAATGAACGAAGCACATTATCATTATCTAACAACAACTAGATATTCTTCGCATTTTTTTTGGAACAGAAGTTATATTTCATCCTGAACATTGCACAGATAGGCATTTTTAGCTGTTTAACAAAACTGGTGATTGTAGGTTCGTGGAGTGCCTGTTATGAATAAAGGTGTAGTCCCATGCTTCTGGAGAGCACCTACAGATAATGACAAAGGTGGAGAAAAACAAAGTTATTACTCCAGATGGAAAGAAGCTCGTATTGATAGCCTTGTATTTCATACAAAAAGTTGTTCTGTGAAGAGCAAAACCAGTGATCTTGTGAAAATAGAGGTTGTTTATGTAGGTGAACCAAGTAGTGAGGAGGGCTCATCTGCACATTCAAATGCTTTATTCACAGTTAATATGATCTACACAATTTATAGTTCTGGGGACTTGATTATTGAATGCAATGTAATTCCAAGTTCTGAGCTTCCACCTTTGCCTCGAGTGGGAGTGGAATTGCACTTGGAAAAATCAGTGGATCAGATTACATGGTATGGAAGAGGGCCATTTGAATGTTATCCAGATAGAAAAGCAGCAGCCCATGTTGGGGTCTATGAGCAGAATGTGAGTGCCATGCATGTTCCTTATATCGTCCCTGGAGAATGTTCTGGTAGAGCAGATGTTAGGTGGGTGACATTTCAGAACAAGGATGGAGTAGGAATCTTTGCCTCAACTTATGGCAGCTCCCCACCTATGCAAATGAGTGCTAGTTACTATTCCACAGCAGAACTTGACCGAGCGACACACAATGAAGAACTTGTTCAAGGAAATGACATTGAGGTAAATTACACCACTGAAAATTCAGTTGTTGAATCTATATTCGAATAAACCAGCAAGTAGAGTATTCATATATTGGACTGGTCCACTCCAAAAATCAATCTATATTTAATTCTCTGACCTTGACATCATGCATGGCCATATGCTACTTGTGAAACACTGTTATTCTACCCAATCTAGAGCGCTTAAAATGGTCATCAGATTTGTAAGTTAACATTTCCTCTACAAAAGTTATGCTCTTGGAGAATGACTTTTGCTCTAGTTTACACTGTTGGCTCATCTGCTTATTCTTGCTGCTGCTTGTTTACCATGCTAGTTTCTTTCTTATGCCACCATATATGTCTTGGATTAAGTATTCAAGTTTAATATGTTTGAATTGCAGGTGCATCTCGATCACAAACATATGGGAATAGGTGGAGATGATAGTTGGACACCTTGTGTCCATGACAAATATCTAGTCCCTCCTGTGCCATACTCCTTTTGTATCAGGTTGTGTCCAATTACTGCGCCTACATCAGGCCTTGAGATATACAACTCGCAGCTTCAGAGCTAATCAAGTGCAACTTATTGGATTGTATCCCTAGATACTTGATCGGAGATTATTTATGTAGGTCTCCATCTATAAGAATAAGATATTGTCCATGAGATCATGATTTGTTTGATTAGGCTGCCTTTTAGCGCAGAGCTAGTGGAGTGGTCTGCTGCACATTAATGTTCTTTCCTAGAGTTTATTTTCCCTATTATATGTGCCTGTCTATCCTTATTCTAAAGCCTTTTGCCTTAATTTCTCCCATCCAAGCGTGAGTGGCTACATTGATTCTAGATTTAGGACTAAAATGAAGCAACCATCAGCCAAATTAGCTAACTTGCTTCCTTTTTTCTCCTGGTTCCTTTAATGCAATGGTTGGACTGCACATGGAATGTAGATAGTTGTCTTTTGAGGAATTATTATCACATTTGCATGAAATAATATAATCTCAATATTTGGCATTGGTGGGTATAATCAAGAAAGGTTAAACAAAAAGAGCAGAGAACACGAAGCCAAATATATAGACGCAAGCTACTGCAATGAAATTCTCGTTTCAGGTTTTAAAAAAAATTGAAAATCTCAAGGGAGATCCAAAACAAGTGGGATCTTAGACTTCTCTCATAAGATTTATAGGCAAATTTGTGCAAGAATTTCCCACGTAGTTCCGATTGCTGTGGCAGCTTTTGTTTAGGGTATGGCTTCTACAGCTTTTGGTCAGAAAGCATTGTGAATTTTTGAACTTTCATGAAATCATCATGCCCACCACACACTCGAAAAACCATTGATCATATGATTACCACACAAAAATAAAACCAAGCCCTCCTTCATTAATTGATGTTTACAATTTTTTTGTTTCTGAATCTATCTAAGAGAAGAAAGTACACATGCCTCCATCGCTTGTTGACTAGCAAAGGACCTACTGTACTAAAAAAACCCACTACAAAACCAATTGTCATGGTGGTATTAAAACCATCCATTTCAAGTCCCAGGCCATGTTTTTCTCTTCCGTTCTCAATGTGAGGCACAAAACCATTTATGCTACAATCAGGAAGTGGGGGCCCACAAAGCTGCTTGTTCATGAAACTGAATGCTTCAAAACTTTGTAATTGAGTGCCTGATGGAATTTTTCCTGACAGTTTGTTGTAAGATAAGTTCAGGTGACTCAAAAACGTCAAGCTTGACATGCTTTGAGGGATTTTGCCAGAAAGCTGATTCAGTGATAGATCAAGAGATTCCAATGACTGCATAGCACCGATATCTTCAAGAATTCTTTCGATCAAAAGATTACGTGACGAATTCAGAAACAGCAATCCTCTAAGGCTTGTTAATTCCTTAGGAATCTCTCCAGATATTTTATTATCAGAAAGATCTATGCTTCTCACGAAGTTAAGAGCAGTGCTGTTGTCTACTATCTCTCCTTTCATCACAAGCAATTGTTGCTCAATCAATGGTTCTCGTCCATAAGCAATGTAAATATAGCCCATTTCATAACTTAGTGCAGCCATGGCACTGAAATTATGGATACAACTCGGTATGATCCAAGAGAGGTTGTTGTGCGCAAGGTCCAGCATTTGTAGAGAATCTGAAAGAAATATCTCCTTAGGCATGTAGCCATCAAACTTATTTCTATGGAGATTGAGAATAACCAAACTTGAAAGTCTTTCTCCAATCCAAGCTGGAATATTTCCAACCAATTCATTTTCCCCCAAGTCAAGAGGGACTAAACTTGTGCAGTTTTCCAGTGAGGATGGTAATTTCCCTGTGAGACTATTATTGCGAAGGTGCAACGACTGAAGTAAAATTAAACTTCCAAGGGAATTAGGAATATTACCAGTGAAATTGTTGTTGGTTAATTTTATGCCCACCAAATATTTCCAGTTCATCCAACAATCTGGTATAAAACATTGTCTCCAAGGTTAAGAACTTGCACACTCTTCACCTCATCCATCTTATAACATAAGAAGCTAGACATTGATCCTGAAAATGAATTGTCAGAAAGATCTAATAAATCTGGATTGGAGGAGATATGAGGCAGTGGACCTTCGAAACGATTTGAGCTCAAGTCAATTAGTGAGAAAGAAGAAGCCTCGAGTGTATTTGGAATCTCTCCAAGGATTTGGTTGTGAAAGAGATCCAAATAATATAATTTGAAAGAGATTTTCCAAAACCAATTAGGAACAGTATCCGAAATGCTGGATTTTGACAAATCCAAAAACGGCAAAAACTTCAACAAACGAAGCCATGGAGGGAATTGAGGTCCAACATGCCACGATCCCAAGTTCTGACTTTCAAGTCTGAGAGGGGATCCAATTATGACCAACTCTCAACACCAATTGATTGCCAAATGCGAAAAATCCCCACAAATTTGTATGATTTGGTAAGTGTAGTTCGAAAATATCTCCCTCTAATAAGTTATAAGAAATGTCTATTACTTCCAATTTTGCAAGTTTTCCAAGACTCATTAATGGAGTTCCATTCAGTTTGTTATGATCAAGCCATAGAGATCTCAAGGATGTCAGTTCTCCTAGAGATACTGGAAATGGGCCAGAAATATTATTATTTCCGAGGCTAAGAGAGGCCAATTTCTTGAATTGCGAAAGGCCGATGGTTAAGTGACCGAGTAATTGACAGTAGCTCAAATGCAACTCCTCTAGTCTATTACAGTGGAGAAAGTGGATATTACAGTACAAGCATCATAGCCGTTAAATTAACTTGTGGTCCAAAAACCGAAGAGCTATGAGCAATATTGACTGCCTCTCTGACTTTTGCATAAACACCTTATATCTCCAATCATATGAAATTTAGCTTTGCTTTGCACCATGGTGTTCATCTCTTAAAAGATGCTGTCAGCAATGCCCTATTTTCCCAGGTCCAGTCTTGACAAGGATGTTCTTCGCCTACACACTTTCATGGATGCTACACACTTTCATGGATAAGCCTTTTCACCACCAACATATGTGGCCTCGACCGTCACAGATCCTTCTGCTAAGTCATCCAATGTACTGGTGGACAGAATGACAAAATCTGCCAGTTTTCCGGGAGATAAGGATCCCAATTCATTGTCCAGAAAGCATGCGTAAGCAGCGGAAATAGTGTGCCTGCCATGGTGATTGTGTGAGTTTCATAGGTGAAAACATGCTAATAAAGTTAGATAAATGTTGTCGGGGATCGACAAAAGTTTAAAACAGAGCAAAGAGACCCACACTCATATAACTAGAACATAAACAAGAAAGTATTAGATAAGCTCTCAAAACAAAAGTACCGATAAGCACATTTGAAGTAAAAGACATTGAGCATGCTTGCACAAGAAAAGCAAAAGTCCATTCACTAAAAGGATCAGAAATGAAACTAGCGAGTCCAAACAGTAGTTGGAAATCAAACTGCTAAACTTAACTGCCTTGGTTCAAGGCATTCAGCAGTGGTGATTTTTTATTAGAACAGTTCTTGATATTAACAATCTGCCAAGAAGACCCATCAAGGATGGGCCTGTATAACATATGCTGACTGACTTGGCCATTGGGATCCACATGCATAAAATTTCCTGTTTCAACACACCATATCTAGCAAATAAAAAAAAAATGTAAACTTTCTCTATATGCTTAAAGAATCATAACAGACAAGCATAGCACATCAAGAAGTAGATGAGCAACAGGAGAGAATATTTCAGTATTGCTTACGCAATCAATGCATCATTCAGTGAAAGGCATTCAGATGCAGTCCAAGCATTTTTCCAACCAGGGGGTACTCTTTTTATTGCTGTTTTGATGCTTCCTACAGGATTAATGTTCGCAACCTGAAAAAACATTAATACTTGGTAAGGGATTTTGCCTAGTATATAGCTCACAGAATAAATGATCTTTAAGAAAATAATTTAACTGAAGCAAATACATTGTTCAGAACAGATACTATGAGTGCTATAATACTTACTGGCCAGTCAGAACCCAAAGCCAACCGAGCATTGCTAGCAAGAAGTGAACGGAAAAGGTAAGATCCCTGCTGGGCCCTATCCACCCCAAGCTTTTTTGCAGCAGACTCAGCATCATCAAGAAGATGATCTGGCTGTTGATAATCAACAATGATTCATGTCAGGAATCAGTTACTCTGATCAGAAACCTTGTGGAAAGAAAGGAGGGGAGGGTGCAGCAGAGAAATGGACCTTAGCTATTCTCATATAATGGAATAAAGGTGAGGGGACTTATTAAACTATCACTTAAGTTTCTAAGACTATAAACTCAATGCCAATGCTTGAATGAGACAGTATTCTCCTAGTGAAGAATTGCGATTGTTACTTCTTATAATGCTTTTAGTACTTTTTACACACCCAGACAAACCAATTGTCGATTGGCCCATAACAGAAACATATAACAATTGAAAGCTGAAAGATAATATTATGGAAAACCTGTACTGAAGCAACGATCCCTTGTTCACCAAATCTGGCAGTCATTCCAGGTACCAAATGCTGGGCATGCTCAATCTGAGTATTTTTGTCCATCATGAAAAGCAACAGTGAGTGAATATTAATAGGAAAGGATACTCTGCCATCTTAATATTCTAAGGAGAGATAAAAAGTTGATCCTTAGTTGAACCTTGTTCATTTTGAGCAACAAACTTTACCCTAAATCTTCTATCTCTCTTTCCATTTGATAAAGCAACTGACTTGTACATATCCAGGACCATCTCATTTGCTTTATCACCTATAGCATGAATTGCAACCTGAAACAAAATTTTAAGTAGAAGATTACTGCATAGAAGTAAAAGCAGAGAACATGTATGCATATACAGGCATGTTCAGTTTTTGTAATAGGACAAGGCCATACCTGAAGTCCAAATTTATCAGATGCTGAAACCATGTTGAAAAGACTCTCAGGATCCGTCACTTGTAAGCCATAGTTGTGAGGCTCGTCAGCATATGGCTAGAAATTGGAAAAACTTGTTACTGGATGATTGATTGAAAAGAAAAAAAGGAACTAGCTCAAATTCAAATAGAGACAAATTTCATATACTCCGCTAACAAATTACAAAACATATAGGGTATGGACATTCTAAATTCAATTTCTCCATTATAAGATGCAATAGTATTTCTCCATTGAGTGGCATAAACAACTCTCAAAACCTTCACCTTTAGAGTATTGGCCACAGAAACGAATAGGCGAAGGTTTACATAAGGCTACATAAGTACACAACAGTTTGGCGATGGCATTTTCCCAGCTCAAATAACTTAACAGTTAGTAGTTTTCTTTTCTTTGTTCCTTGGCTTGTTATGTTTGCAGATGGCATTTTACATACTGCTGTGGAAAAGGAAAGCTATCTAGTTTAGAATTCTGGCTCTATGAGATTTGATAATTGAGGCAAGGTAGATGTAGAGTCCATAAAATACAGTATAGGAGGGAAAATGATAATAACTTAAATCTGAGAAACGGGGAAAAACAAAGGGAGAGAATGTCAAGTATAAACAAAAAGAGTCTGGCCATTCACTGTTTTTCTGGTGGCTGGAAACCAAGACATACATTGGTGAGACAAGGACAAAATAGTGGCGGTTTAAAATAATGAATTTCATGGTAACAGCTGTAGGGAACTCAAGTAAACAACGGTAAAGCATAAGACAAAACCACAAACAGCAATCCTTTTTGACATAGAATGTAATCGGAACTACAAAATTGCCATTCAGACTTTTCCCCCTAACATATGCTATCATGTTTGGATCTTATTCACCAACCAATGCTTTTTTCAGTAATTTTATCATGTCACGTGTGTAACAATTAGTTTCTCCTCTTCTTCCTGTTTGTATGGTATCCGTCTCAGGCTAAGAAAAAGCAACCATACTAATAAGAAATTTGATTATTAGCAGCCATACATGCATCATTTCCTCATCCAAAAATTGAGCACTCGCTTATTGTGTTTGCATTAAATCTTAGCACGTGTCACCCATTCCCCCATTCATACCTAACCTAGCTAGGCCAGAAACAGAAAGAAACAAAAAAAGAACGAAAAACAAGGTATTGATATAAATTCATATCTCCAAAATCAACTGTGTCCTTATATGCATATATATATCAAACAGGATGTAGATATCCAAGTGCATAATTTTTGCTCTATACTCTAAAATAGTTGTACCAGACATCAAAGCCATATAATAGCCCAAGGAATTTAAAATCTTCAACCCAAAAAAATCAAAATAAAAGGTCAGTGAACACAAAATATTACTCCTCACCTCAATGAAAAGTGCACTATTAGAACCTAAAGATCCATCAGCAAATGCCTTAACACCACCCAAATAAATCCAATTGCTAAGTGCTCGCCCTGTCTTCTTAATAAGGTCCTGGGAGGTAAATGAGACCTTCATAAGTGACAGTGCAAAGAGAGAGAGAACTAGAACATCAGCTGTAGGTAAAAAATAGAATTCATACAAGTAGTCGTGACCATGTTTCCAATGGAAAAAATAAGCAAACCCTAATACTCATCTTCCCAGAAGAATCGGCCCATTGATAAACATCTGTTGAAATGAAAAAAAAATCAGGTTAAGGAACAGAAATTCAAAAGCATTATAATTCTGCTCCAATAGTTCATACAAAGGAAACACATGGAAGATTCAGTGGTTCTATAATCCATATCATTCCTTTTCTGCAAATGATTTTCTTTTCTTTTCAAACTTGCCAACAGAAAAACAAAAGGTTACAGGTTAGTTTTCTTGAAAATTCTCAATTAAAAATCTGTTCTAAGTAGAAAATCCAGATAAACAAACTCTCATATAAACAAGGAAAAGCTCTTTCAGAACCATTTTCGAGTTTGTTTTCAGAAACATGTTTGATGAGAAAGAAATTGGAAACTAAACCCAAAATGGCCTTCTTGGAATCAAAAAGCCAGACTGAATCTTAACCTTACCAGGGTGAAAGAAAAGAGCAAGAAATGTGCGGCCAATTAATGGCCACTTGCATTATGTGCGCGCTGTCTTCATATCAGTTTTATTGGATCTGTCTTCTTCTTCTTTTTTTCTTTTTTTTTTTTTGGCTGTGAGAAAGGTCAGAAATCTCCTTCTCAGTTTACGTTTCAGGTCACTAAATTGTAGCCACAATAATGGAACTTTATTTTTTCCCCTAAAAACAGTGTTCCATGTTCAAGTGATAAACCAGAATAAAATGGAATTAAATAATTCAATTCCATAGGACATCCAACACTCTAAAAGTTGTAACCAAAACCTGAAAGATCCTCCCACGAATGATCGACACTTGCCCCAGGAAAATATCGCCCAAAATCAACAACAGTTGTCACACCCCTCATCAAGGCAAGGTTGCTGACTCTAAGAAAAGCCTCCCTCCTTTCATCCACTGAGACCTCCGGTATCCAGGGGAGGACAAGTTCCATCGCAGCATCAATTAACAATCCAGAAGGTTCTGCATGATGATAATGACACAAAATAATTAGCACGAAAAATTACAAGTGGTACTGCACAATTAAATATCTAACATGCATCAAAATCTACAAGAAAAATCCAAAGTCAGAAACTGCATACTTTCCAAATTATTACTGGATATATAGCACTCATTTCTTTTGCAGTGCATTTCAGTCAAGATGCACTGTCCCCTCCCCTCGCCAGAGGGTAAAGAGAGATGCTTTGAGCAGTTCTGACTTCAGAAATCCTGGCCCTCTGTAGAATTCACACATGATGGGCCCTACATGCGCATGAATTGCACAGGAAGAAATATTGAATCCGCATCATCAACTTTGCGACATCTCAACAAATTTTGCACATGCAATGTCTTGCAATATAACTTTGAATAAAATGAATCTAAATTTGTAAATCAGACAAAAATTCTGGACAATATTAGCTAATATGCCACAGAGAGCGAAGGGTTCAGCATGTAGCTATGCAAAAGCACTTCATATTTTTCAGAAGCATCATTACATGGTGACAGAACTAAACATACCTCCATGGATAGATTTTGCAATAGTTCCACCATTTGGATCATTCGATGAATTATTAATACCAGCCAATTTCAGAGCCAATGAATTGGCCAAGCCCATATGACCATCCATTCTTGTTAACCAAACCTGTACAATCATAAGTAAAGAACATGAGATTGTGAATGGCAATATTCGTGAACTTAATAGACATCAATTAAGCAATGGCTACTTACAGGATTCTCTGCTGTAAAATCATCAAGCCAAGAAGCCATCGGTAATTCTCCTCCCCATAGATCATTGTTCCATCCGCCGCCCAACACCCAGGAACCTTGTTTTAAATCTGAAGCAATTTGTTTGCAAACAATCACGTCAAAAAGATATCTAAGATTTGAAAAATTAGAAAACGAATCACCATAATCATATAATTCTAGTCCCTCTTATTTAAAAATTTACCCTCTAAACAACTATGCTTACACAGTAAAGCAGGAATCCATCATTCTACAGGTAACAAAAAGTGAACGTCAAAACATTATTATTGGTTTGATGTTCCCGTTAGACCCACTAATCCATCTACATAATTCTTCAACTCTTTACTTATCCCTCAACATTAACAAACACATTGAACAACCCAAAATTAACCATATATCCAACAGGTTGATTCAAAATCCACAGAAATCACAGCATTTGCTTAACCGAGCACGGAAATTACTTCCTGCAGCTTCTTTAACCCTTCTCACAAACTCTTCTTTCTGATTTACACCTCGCAGCTCCACACGCACCATCTGTTATTCATTGATAAAATCTAGTCAAATAAGCTCAACATATAAGACTACGACTAATCACAAAACTCGACAAGAACTACACATAAATTACAAACATTCCGCAGACGATCTAGGATATTTAATACAGTACCTGAAGCCCCCCAGAAATAAAGTGGACATGAGAATCAATAAATCCAGGAACCACAACTTTTCCTTCAACATTCACCTCTTTAGTTCCAATCCCTACCAAGTCCTGCATACACACACACACACACACACACACACACAAATAATTAAAAAAATATATAGTATTTTATATTTCTTAAGTTAAAAATTCTCACAGTAATCTGTGCAGTAATTCAAAAACTCAAGAGAGAGAGAGGGTTATGGTGACCTGAAGAGACGAGTAATTGCCAACGCGAAGAATCCTACCGTTTTGAACAGCCATAGAATCGGCGACGTGCAAAGAAGAATCGCCAGTGAAAATAACACCATTCTTGACTATTAAATCCGCCACTAGTTTCTTCGTTGATAATCTTTTCAATCCCAAATTCGACCAACCTTTTCAATAGAACAGTTCAGTCAGTAAATAACTCTTTCTTATTCGTTTATTTGTGTAAAAAAAAGATATAGAGAGAGGAGAGTACCTTGCGGTGGTATATTCAGGGAGTAAACAGCAATGGCGAGAACGAAAGCGGCGGAGAGAAATGTGTAGCGGTTCATGCTACTTTTCTCCTCGCTACGTTATTTCTTTGTTCTGTTTGTATCGCTCGGTTCCCTCTCTCAGTCTACAGAGCCAGAGGAGGAAGACACGTAAAAAAAGTTGTCTCGCTTTTGTTGAAGATTCTAGGGAGTGTTGGATACACGTTGAAGATTCTCTCTCTCGGATTCTGTAAAAGATTAAATAACTGATTCGTCCATGTACTCTTTGAATTTTATTTCTAAAGCGTGTTTTTTTTATATAGGATTGGTTTCCTTTCACCTTCTAAAATAACAATAACCATGGATAAACTACTGTTTCTTTCATGTTCACACATACTCCATCTTCGCGATATGTGCGGCTCGTAATGCAGCACGATTCTCCTTCTGTTCCTTATAATATATATATATATATATATACATATAATTAGTTACTCCTGTTATTATAAAATTTCTCATGTCCGTGACCTGTTTGCCTCTTTGTTTGTCTCTTTTCATTTCTGTCTTTTTTGTCCCTTTCGGTCAGTTTCTTTGTTTTTTTCCACAGCATTTAGTTCTGCATGATAATGGTGCTGAAGGATTGGTTTTTTTCCCCTCTCCATTTTGCCTTGCTCCAGCATTTGATGCAGAGGGTTGTTGCCTTGCTTGGGGCCCGGTAAATCATTGATCTATGTTTTTCTTTTTTCGTCCCTGTAAATAACTGGGTGCATTTTCGTTTGCTTTATTCCGTTTTTTTCAATATTTGTATTTTTTAAAAAATAATCTTCTCGCTTACTGAAAAAAATTCATTTATTAATTTTTATAAAAAAGTTTATATTAATTTTTGCTTTATTTTTTGATACACTGTTATAAATAAAAATATTAAGATATTTTTCAAAATTTTGGATTAAATTTTTTATTTAGATTATTACAAATTTTTATTTAAAAATTAATATATAATGAAGAAAAAATTATGTTTTTTAATTATAAAATTTATGAAAAACATAAAAAAAAATAAGTTAAATATAAAATTTTGGTTAAAAATTGAATGATTTTTTTAACTATGGATTCAATATATTTTAATAGATCCTTGATATAGTACAAATTATCAAACTAAAATTTTTAAATTAATTTTATGTATTTTATCTAACTCAATAAAATATGATAATTAACTAATGGAATCTATAATATAATAGATTTAAGATATGCCTATTAATTACGAATGAGAGGCATCTCGGTATCTTCCTAAATTCAATTAACTAGCTGGCCTATGTGATGTATGCATGCTGCTATTGATTGGATATACAAGCACGGATTATTTTTTTTTCTTTACTTGAAAATTATTATTGAGTTAGCTTTTAAGTATTAAAATTGCGTAATTGGATTTTAAATAAGTCATTCATAACCAATTTGATGCATTCATATATATATACCATCTCTCTTGGAATTCGAACCACAAATAAGAATTAGATGTGTATGCCCATACATCAACTAAACAGGTCGAAACAGAAAAATGTTAATATAACCTAGGTTGTTTAAATTTATTTTTTTAAATCGTAAAAAAAAAATAGTCTAAACTAACTCACACATTGAACTTAGGGGTGGTCATTCGGTAATTTAGTTCGATTTCGAAATTTTTTAACCGATTTTTAGTTAACCGAATTATCCAAAAAATAACCGAAACCGAACCGAATTATTATTCGGTTTTTTGGTTCGGTTTCGAAATGTAACGCTTCCGCCTCAGTCATATTTCTACTACCCAAGTAGAGTGTCGGACGAAGCGCGTTACGCCGACATACCCTAAACTCTAAGTAGTTTTCTTATGATATTCTTAGAACTTTAACAAGTACATTACATATATAACTCCTTAAGATAAAATTTACATAACATAATTACATATATTAATAAAACATTACGAGCAATATTCAATTTCTCACGAACTCCATACCCCAAATTTATAGACAAAATAAAAACTAATATATGGTGCCTCACATGAGCCGCTTAGGAGGAGCCAGCCGCATCCATACCAACTTGTCTTTTTCCGTCAAGACATAAAAAAAATAACAACGAGGTGAGCCGAAGCTCGGTAAGCGGGATGATGCATGTGATATGCAATGTTGTTTTGACTTCCCACCATACTCATAAATTTTAATCTCGGGTACCTCGGGTATTAGCCGATCTACTCTATTTATCATCTAGGTGGTCCACGGATCACCTTCTGCTACAACAGAATTATCCCTCGTTGTAATTACCGTTAGCGAGAATCCATCGTCTAACAGAGTGCAAGCACACGGCTTTATTTCATCTAGATGATCCTTGGATCATCTTCTCGCTATAACGAAATTATCCCTCATTGTAATTACTATTAGCGTAAATCCATCGTCTAATAGTGCGAGCACACGACCTAGAGTACTTGGACTACTAATACTCATTTATTCCAGCTAGGTTATCAAACCTAGATGTATAAATCATTTCTCAATCAATTGACTTGCCTTAAACCACCCACTATGCACATGATGCACGGGATGACATATTTAATCACACTCAACCACATTCGAGTACCAACCCTTCATTCTCATGCCATACTCACGGTCCAACCCACACTCGAAATTTATCCATTGCTCACACACCAATCATGATACCCACAACGGGAACACAATCTCCGCTCATTAATATTGTTCATTAGTTTCATTAATATTTAAAAGAAAGTCCAAGTCCATTTACTTTAATCCGAGCCCATTAACTTTATCCTAGGTCCATTGACTCTATTTAATTCCATTTTATTGAGTCCAAGCTCATTTAGTTTATTCCAAACCTATTAATTTTGTCCAAGTCTAATTTTTTTTTTTTGGTTTTAGGGTTTATTACCGGGTAACTCCTAATCGAGTAAATAATTTTTCAATTTCAGAACATAATTAAATCTTACCCATTTTATTTTAGATACTAGACATATTTATTTATAACATATCCAAAAATTAGGTCTAAATACCAAGTACACAATTAATTACAAATTTTTGAAACTTAGGGAGCAATCTGCCTATAGTAGTTTGTCTAGAGCTATCCATACTAAATCGGGTATAACTCTTCATACACGAATCCAATGACCAAGAAATTTTAAAAGAAGTTATTTGAAACATATATGAACAACTTTTATTCTTTAAGTTTCACCTAAAAATTTATCTAAAATCCTTGAACATACACCCCAAAATTCGGACAGAATTTACTCCTTATCAACTCTAATTTATTAGTTCATTCCAAGCCAACTTTAAACATGTTTTAGTTCACTTAAATTTAGTCCAAGTTCAATCCAACCCATCACCACATACTTGGACATTTTTCAAAATATCATAACATCATAAATTATCACAACAAGGCATCCATACATAGATTTATCCCAAGCATCAAGCATATAACCATTGAAAATTATTACAACCCATGAAATAAACACTAACAAAATAACTTAAAAAAAATAATTTAAGACATTAATCAACCAAAAAAATGAAACCTACTTACCTCTTTTAGGTTTGATTAGAATTTCCTTAGCTCTTTTTCTTTCCTTTTTCCCTTTCTCTTTCTCTTTTCTTTCTTTCTCTCTTTTTGTCGTTTTTCTCTCTTCAATTTGGCTTCTCTTTTAATTATGGATGGCTACATTTTTTGGTCTAAAAATGGCAGCCATTTAACCCTCTTTTTCCCTTATATACTCACCTTTTATCCTCTCGTTTATTTATATCATAAGTGTTAAAATTTAACTAGGCCAAATGTAAAGTGGAGGAAGCTTGGAAGGCAAAGCTGGTATGTTTTGGAAGTCAAAGGTGATGATTTGGCTTCCAAGCATTTAATTCAAGTGCTTAGGTGGCTAAAGAAAACTTAGGCTAAATAAACGCATTAATAAGCTGGGTTCATGTAATTAGACATAATTTCTTTCTTAAAAAATTCGAAATTTCTTTTTCTCCAAAATTTCAGCAAGTGTTACCTCCTAACCCATATATACTAAAATGTGCATAACTCTTTCTATATGTATCCAAAAATTATGAACTTTTATAGAGAGCTAGTACACACATATACAAATAACTTTTATTCTTTACGTTTGTCTCAAAAATCAATCTAAAAGCATCAAATAAATCTCATAAGATTCGGGTAGATTCTTCTCTCAAAATTCCAGCAGAATGCATTTCAAAACAACCCTCACTATAATTGGTATAACACTTAATGTATAAGTCCAAATATTATAACAGTTTATACAGGCATATTCAACACATAGATGAACAACTTTCATTCTTTAAGGTTGACCCAACAATTACCCTAAAGTCCTCAAAAAATTCTCACAAAAATCGGGCAGAATATAGTCATTAAAACATTGATTTTGCATATTTGATTTCTTTAATAATTAAACCATTAATATTAAGCACAATAACTTTAATTTAACATAAATCACATATTTCAAGCATTAATTTCTCATGATAAAATGAGAAATATACTTACTCTTAATATACAAATATATCGGTTTTTTTATTAGGTAATTCGGTTTTCATCCGTAATTAACACTCAAGATTTTTTTTATTTTCTTATATTTTTTTATGATAAAATATTTTATATTTAAATAGGTTAACGTAAAATATTGCATGGTCAATGTTTAAATTTAGTTCATTTGTTGAAGAACATTTTCAACTCTTGAAGTTTTATAAAATAAATGATAAGTTAATCCCTCTAGTTTTGAGAAACAAATTTAGTCTTTATATTTTTACAATTTATTTTGATTTTTTGTTTTTGGAAATAAAAAAAGTAAAAAATAAATAAAAATTTTTAAATTTTAGGAACAAGGAAGATGAACTGACGAAGAGGAACTTGTGATTTTAGGTTTTTGAATCCAAAAAAGAGTGAAACAACATTGTTTCACTCATGAATTTTTTAAAAAAAATGTAATAATTCGGTTAATAGATTTAAAAAAAAACGAAACTGAAAATCAGTTATATATCAGTTTGTTTTTTTTTAATTTAAAAAAGAAACCACATCAAAATTGATATTTCGATACGATTCGGTTCGTT